GGGTGACAAGTGTCGTACGCTTTGTTGGGGAGTCGAGCATCATGCATCCGCCATTGGCGTCGAGGACGGTGTGTGCCTTGAGCTTGTGATCGCGAATGGGCTGGCCTTGCGAAGGCTGGTACGCCACGTTCGGTTCAACCGGCGTCACTATGGGCAGGCAGGAGCACAAGCAAGCATCGGAATGAACGGCGTGGTGAGGAACAGCGCCCGTGCGATACCTGGTAAACAGAGGGGTGGTGATGTTGGGTTGCTTCCCTTGTTTTGTTTGTGGTCTGCTTGGACTTACTGTCGTGTTGCAGAAAAGCCATGGCGTAGTTGGGGAGGGTGGAGGAACGAAAACAAGGTGGTCTGAGTCGATGAAGCCTGCTAGGGTCAGCGGTGTATGTGTCGTGCGAACGAGCGAGGGGGAGCGATAGGTGTCGTGTCGGGGCTGGTTGGTGGCTGCACAGCAACAACAACAGCAGCAGCGACGGCGGTGGGCAAGGAGGGTTGGTTGGTTGGTTGGTTGGTTGGAAGATGTCACAAGAAGAAGCGGGCAAAGAAGGAAGAGGAAGAATGCGAGACGGGTTGGTTGGCTGTCGTGGTTGTTGTTTGGTTGTAGCGAAGTGTGTGGTTTGCTGCTGTGTTTGCGCCCAAACAACAACGCGCTTGTTGTTCGCCAAGGAGCGAAAATTCATGGAAAACTTTCATGAAACCCTACGTCCGCTTTTGCGCCCCTTTGCATTGGTGTGTGTTGGCTGGCGCGGCAGGGTTTCTGGGTTTCCCTTGCCCTGTGACCTTACATGCACCACGCATGCGTGGCTGCTTTCTCAGGGACGGACACAGACACAGGCACAGACACAGGCACAGGCACAGGCACAGGCACAGGCACAGGTGATGTCCGTACAAGAGCACACGCACACGGAGCGGACATACACCTTCCCACAAACACTTGGCTGTGTGCTTCCTTCTTTGTTCGCTTGTTCGCTTGCTTGCGTGCGCGAAGCCAGCGGGTGGTCTCGTTGTAGAATTTTGAGTGATAACTTACATGATTGCTCATCAGCGCCCACGCCCACCACCACCAACCGCGCCTCCCCTTCTTCCCAGCCAGCATCAGCAGCAGCACCCCACAACAACAAGTGAGAAGCAAAGCAAAACGGCAAACAAGGTGTGTGTGTGTGTGTGTGTGTGTGTGTGTGTGTGTGTGTGCGAGGGCAGCTACAAGTACGTTGACAAGCTCCATCACCTTGACGCACACGCAACGTTTTGGTCGATGGGACTGCACGGGTTGGCAGTGCAGGTGTTGTGTGTGGTGCTCGTTCGTTTCTTCTGCTGACACACCGTTGTGGTTTACGTGTTTACTTTACCTCCCAGACAGGAAAGAACAGCAAGCGTTTCGCGCTGGGTCTTTCCATTGGAGCAGCAGCATACCAAATCATCGGTTCGAGTGGCGTGGCCTCCTTTTAGTATCGGCTAGGCGTCGTTGTGGGCAACAAGCCACACGCACAAGCGCATAGCGTTGCAGGCGACCGCACCCACCCACCAAACACCATGTCCACATTGACATCCAGCACACCAACGCGAACACGAACGCGTGCTCGCCGAGCAAAGCTGACAACACTGAGGTCGTCGTCCACATCGCGAGACCAGGAGCCGCGCTTCAAGACGGTGCCCATCCCCAGGTTAGAAGAGGCCAAGGTCACGGGCCTCACGTTCAACCCAATCTCACACAGCGTCGCCGCCGCATATGTGGACGGCGTGTGCCTCGTCTGGAAACCGGTGAGTGTGCTGTTTTGCCTTTGGGACGTGTGTGTGTGTGTGTGTGTGTGTGTGTGTGTGTGTGTGTGTGTGTGTGTGTGTGTGTGTGTGTGTGTGTGTGTGTGTGTGTGTGTGTGTGTGTGTGTGTGTGTGTGTGTGTGTGTGTGGGTGCCTCTCTCTTTCTCTGTGGTAGTGCGCATCCCGCAGTCGTGCCGCCCTGCTGAAGCGGTGCCAGGTGGTACGGCAACCCTCCCCCCCCCCCAAGTCTGCAAAAGTCGCGACACGATGACTGACGGGATGCATTGTTGTGGTTTGTGCCATGTCGCTTTGTGGTTGTGTGATTTGATGCTTGGCGCAGCCGAGGCCCGGCTCCAGCCCTACGGGCGAGGATGTACAGAAGAAGGCACATGAAGGCTCCTGTACCTGCGTCAAATGGAGGTGTGTGTATATGGGAGCGTGCATGAGCATGTGCTCATGTTCATGTGTACATGAACACGTGCGTAACTTCATGCGCATACTTGTTGTCTTGTGAAGTAAGCAAGGCGTGTGCAAGTGTACACAGTGCAGCGCTGTGCAATCTCCTCCAGACACACACACACACACACACACACACACACACACACACACACACACACACACACACACACACGCACGCACGCACGCACTGCGGACACAGCCCAAATGGGCAAATGTTGGCAACTTCGGGCTCCGACAGCAGAATCGTCCTCTGGGTGCGTTGTGCGTTGTGCTTTGTGCTTTGTGTCCTTGACTTGTTGTGTGCACGTGAATACATTTACGAGGCTGTGCTTCAGTTTCTACTGTTGTCGCTCACACCGAGACATGCCGCTATGCTCCTCTTGTGCAGACGCCGGAGCTGGAGGAGGTGACGGTGCTTGATGGCCACTCTAGAACAGTATGGCACATTGCCTTCTCATCAACCGGAAAGCTCCTAGGTATGCAGAAAGTCGTGCGTGCGATGTGTACGTGATGCATGTCTTGCTCACGTGGGCTGCAAACCCCCCCCCCCACACACACACACACACACACGCATGCACTTTGATGGCCTCCTTCATTGCGCGCTGATCGTGCTCTATTTGTGTTGTCATTGCGTCTGTGTCACCCTCCCACCCTCCGCCCGTTAGCGTCGTGCTCTGGTGACTCGACGAGTAAGATATGGAACACAGAGACGGGGCAGGTGGTGCACACGCTTGTGGGGCACGAAGGCTCTGTTCAGTACGTCGCCTTCAACCCAACAGATGCTGTTGCCGCCACATGCTCCATCGACTCAACAGTCAAGCTTTGGGACGTCCTCACAGGTGAAAAAAAAAAAAAAACTTGTGTGTGTGTGTGTGTGTGTGTGTGTGTGTGTGTGTGTGTGTGTGTGTGTGTGTGTGTGTGTGTGTGTGTGTGTGTGTGTGTGTGTGTGTGTGTGGGCGTCTTCGTGTTTTCACTTCGTTTGCGACTGAGACTGGTTAACGCATACATTTCCCTTTTCAAGTACTCACGCAAATGACACACACCCACACACACCCTTGGCTGGAACACCAGGCCAATGCGTGAACACGTTGGTTGGGCACGACGAGTGGGTGTCGCAGATTGTGTTTTCGCCAACATCTGCGACCATGTGTGCGACATGCTCCTCGGACTGCACTGTTCGTCTGTGGGAGGGTGACTCGTGCTGGCGCGTCCTTGAAGACCACGAGGCAGACGTCAACACCGTAAGCATGTCGTGAAAGACTTGGTACTCGCAGCTGTGAACTATTATCGTCGTTTCTCCCATCAGTACACCCCACCCCCCGCCGCCACTACCTCCTCTCCACCGCGACCAGCACCATTTGATCCTCCTCCTGACACGTGCCTCCTCGTTCCGTATTATGTGCTGTCGGTATCAGGTTCGCTTCAGCCCGAGCGGGGCGGCGCTCATCTCGTGTTCCGACGACTCCACAATCAATTTCTACGACCTTCGCCTTGGCCAGCTCAAGTACAAGATGACAGGACCACACCCCATGAACGACGTCGTGTTCAGGTGCCGTACAAGCAACACGTGTCATGTGTGTGTTGTGTGAAAGGTGTTGTGTGAAAGGTGTTGTGTGTGTGTGTGTGCGTGTGTGTTGTTGTTGTTGTGGGTGGATGTTGTATGTGGGCGGTGTGGGTGTAGGTATTTCATTGGTTTGTATGTGTGTTTTGTCTGCTTGTTTGATGGTTGAGACGTGGCGTGCAGCGCAGCGACCCGAATGACCCCACCATGCCCCTCACCTCACCCACCCCCCCCCTCCCCCTTTCACCTCTTCGCTCCCTAACCCCGTTCCTCATGCAGCCCGGACGGGTCTGTCATTGCTGGCGTGGACGAGGGCGGGAACCTGTCGCTGTGGGACGTGGCGAGCGGGGAGTTGTTCGCCTCCATCCAGAAGCACAAGGTCTCTGCAACACACGTGACATTTGATCCCAACGGCAGCATGGTGTGCACTGCGGACGAGAAGGGAACTGTACTTGTCTGGTACCTGGCGCCGGTTGACGGCGTGTTGCCGGGTGCAGACAAGGGGCGGTGCATCCTTTCGTGATGCAGTTGTTACATGGCGACACGCAGCAGAGCCGGCAGTGGTGATGGTGGTGACGACAACAACAACAACAACAACAACAACAACAACAACAACAACAACAACAACAACAACAACAACAACAACAACAACAACAGTGATTGTGCAGTGTTTTGTGGCCGTGACTGTTGTCTTACTCACTGGGTCAGCTTTACTACAGTGCACATTCCTGCCTGACTATGGAGTCCTGATTGTCGGTTTGTCTCGCGGTGTTACAAGCGGGGCTTTTGCCACCGTTGAGTGTTGCTTCCGGTCTTGTGTCGTCAGCTGCCTACCTAGACATTTCTTCTCTTCCTGTGCCTGTGTGCGTGTTCGTGTGCTGGCGCACCTTGTCCTTCCCCTGTTCTGTGTCTATCCTGGTGCATGTTGACCATTGTCCATTAGTGTATAGCTTGCGTTTCTGCTGACCCTTCTCCCTTCTCCCCCCCCCCTCATCTGCTTGGCCCTCTGCACACACACGCACACAAGCACACACACACACACACACACACACACACACACACCGCACATGCTGCTCTCGCAGTCTTACCGCGCGCTCTCACTTGCATCGGTTTGTCATGCACACACATGTCACACATGTACATATGCACACACGAAGCACACACACGCACACACATACAGAAACCACCGTGCGCTCGCATGTGCCTCCCCGTTAGTTTGTTGACATCCATGATGCCATGTGACATTCTACCTCATCATTTTCCTCTTTGTCTGTGAACCTGATCTTTGGGGCTCTCTCTCTCTGTCTCTCTAGTAGATTGCTTGCTTTGTTTGGCTTATTCGTGCGCATATCCATACATCAATCGCAAATGTCCGCGCCACGTGGGGGGGGGGGTGCTGATGGTGAGGTGCTGAGGTCAAGGCAATGCTTGCTTCTTGCAGGCAAACGTCTGGTGGCTGAAACAAGTTTCCTGACGAAATTCTTGAGGGCGCACTTCGCTGCCTCGAAGGCGTGCCACAGTGACAGATAGCAAAACACCACCAATGAAGCACCACCACCACCGCTCGCGCCCACCACACTTCACCCCACCACCACGACGACGCAGCAGCCATGTCGACTGCGCCATCCCCTGCAGCGCCAACGGCGGAGCCCGATACAGGTGTGTGTGTGTGTGTGTGTGTGTGTGTGTGTGTGTGTGTGTGTGTGTGTGTGTGTGTGTGTGTGTGTGTGTGTGCGTGCGTGTGTGCATGTGTGTGCGTGTGTATGTGTGTGTGAGAGCAACACAATGCACCCAATGCACCAGCGTTTAGAGCAGGCTGTTGCCGCTCACCGTTGGTGGATCATCCGAGTCCTCGAGTCCTCGAGTCCTTGCACTTTTAGAAACCACACAGAGAGTCGGACGACACAAACACACACACACACACACACACGCACACACACATACACACACACACACACACACACCGTCACACATCTGTACACCTGTACTTTATCTTGTGCAAGGCAACGCAGACACGTTTGCCCTGAGCACGGATATGCTGGCCATCATCCTTGGCGCGTCCATTGCAGGCGGCCTGCTGATTCTCATTGCTTGGCTGCTGCTGCGCTCAAGATGCAAGCGACGCGAGCGCGAGCGCGCCGCAGCGGAGCAGGCAAGCGCGTCGCCCTGGAAGAGGCGACGGAATGGAGATATGCGCGCAACCATCCGAAAGGCAAACGAACTGGTCCGTCGTCTTGCTTGTCTGCTTGCATACCAGCTCCTTTGCCTGCTTTCGCTTGCTTGCAAGCAACTGGATAGTCACTCACAACCTGAATCGTGTGGTCGTTGGCGTACAATAGAGTGTGCTTGTGCTCTTAAGATCCAATTCAGCAGTTGCATGTGCTGCAGCTCTTTGAGCTACTCTACCCGTCGTCTGTGCCATCGCTCCCTCGTTGCCGTCACATCACTACTCACACAAACGTTCATCTCCTGATATGTAGGCGATGAAGAAACATGGGTCTCGGCGGGGGTCTGAGGTCTTCCAGGAAGTTCACAGCTCTGAGCTGCTGCCAGAGACGGTTCACGCCCCCGACGACGGCTTTGGCAATCCACACGCGCAGCGTCCACTACCGTAAGAACCTCAGCAATAGAAGTGTAGTTGGAAGTGCCGCCATTATGTTGCTGGGCACGTCTCACACTCACGCTCACGCTCACATGTGCACAGTCTCGTTTCACTCTCTCGTTCACCGACTCGCCGACAGTCTTGTTTCAATCACAGACTTGCATTCACGGACTCCGATTTACAGACGCCCATTTCCACCCCACGCATATTCACTTGCCTGCGCAAACCACATATATCACTTCCATCTTCAAACACCCACCGACAGGACGAGCAGCGGAAGCCTGCATCCACCAAGCGCTGGCATGCGCGGACTTTCGCGCGAGTCACTGGCAGCGCTCGACGTGCGAAACAGAGCCGTCCTGAGTAACCATGTCATGACAAAGTTCACGCGCAGCCTTACAGAGACGCTTCTGCGTGAGGACCACGGCAGCAGCGTCACTGCGCCAGAGCCCCGATCACGCTCGGCATCGCAACTGTACTCAGATGACACTGCAAGCTACGTGACAGAGGAGAGCCAGACCGTGAACCACGCAAACTCACGCGGCGCACAACACACCAAGCCAGGCACATCCTCCCCACTCCACTACCGCTCCTCTGGCAACCAGCCCCACCACCACTACCACCAGCAACAGCACTGTCACCGACAGCAGCAATATGCACCACGATCGCAACACAACCAGCACAGACAGCTTGGACTGCTGCCCGGTCGCTCTTCTCGCCCCGGCGTCCTATCCATGGATAGGCCAATGCTACACACAGCACTGGCAGCAACGCCAACAACATCACCCCCACCAAGACAAGCCGTAGCAACACCACCGCCATATCCACAGCAGCAGCAGCAACATCAACATCAACATCAACAACATCAACAACGCGTGGTACACACCTCCTCGTCCTCATCCTCGTCAAACAGGGCCAGCAAGCCCGTGAGCCGCAACCTGTCTCGATCCAATGCTCTGCAGTCCTCGTTCCGCAACGACGTGGACGTCATATCTGCATCCCTGCGCCAGAGCTTCCGCACCCGGTCCCGCCAGCCGTCCGGCCAGGCATCTCGCGAGAGCATCCAGCACCCACCACGCTCGCCACAGCCACAACTACCGCCACCGCTTGGCAGTCGAAACGGTACGCGCACCAGCCTCTCAACTGCCTACACGGCACCACACCCAACGATCCACAGCCACCACCACTACCGCGCTCACGGGCAGCACACTGGAAGGAGCGCTGGCGAAGCCACGAGTCGCAGCGACAGCAGCAGCACCGCGTTGCTTGACACGTCATATCACAGTCACGAGCGCTTGCGTGACGAAAACGACACGCGCCTGCGCGGATTGCGACGTGCATCCTCATCACTGAACTATCCCAGCGATGATGGCCTTGATGATGATGGTTCGGAAGAGAGGCTGTTGCGGTCTCGCACGCCACTCGAGGAACCGCTTGAGGCAGACTTTCTGCCCGCCGTGGTCTGTGGTTTGGACATCAACGATCCCACATTCTCAGCACCTTACAGTAACCAGGCAAGTCACAGCGCTAGGGTGTGTGTGTGCATGCATGTGTGTGCGTGCGTGCGTGTGTGCGTGCGTGCGTGCATGTGTGCGTGTAACCTGGGGCATGAGAGAGGCACAGACTTGCGTGATCTGAATGTTAATGCTACAGCGCTGACCATTTATTTTTCGGGGTCTTGTCTTTGCTTGCAGGCAACGAGCGCCGCACTGCGCCGACGCCAATCAATGGAAGAAACAGAGGCGTAACCTTGCAACAGAACAGCAACGGACAGTTAGCCAGCTAGCTTGCTTGCCTGCCGAAAGGGCAAGCCCCCCACCCCAACATCACATCCGAACTTTCCCCGCTCATTTGCTGTTTTGCGTGGATGGCTTGCCCCGCCCCGTGTCTTCGACTGTGTCGTGTTCGTACCTTCTCCAGCAGTAAGTACACTGGTGCACACTTGCTTTGGGCGGTTTGTACTGCTTACCTGGAAACAGGAGTGTTCTCTTTATTTGTGAAATGCCTCAAACCAAAGTGCTTCGAATATATCATCATCACCACCCATCATCATTGTGAGTGCCACGAGCAAATGGACTCACACAGCCCATTCCAACACGACACAAGTCATGTGAGCAAGCCAACTTGTTGGCGCAGAACAAACGTGAAGGGAAGAGCGCATCGGCTAGTTTGCCGCATCCTCAGCGGTGTCCATCTGTGCTGTGTCATCACCCGTACCAGTTAGTGTCTCCTTCGCGTCATCGTCTTTCTTTGTGCCTTCCTTCTGCTTCTCCTTTGTGTCTTCCTCGCCACCTGCATCTTGCTTGTCTTTCGCCTCACCATCCTCGTTCCCAGCGCCCTTCTGTCCCTTCACAGCATCATCCTTCTGCTCCACACTCTTCCTCTCTTCCTTGTCCGCTGGTGACCGTGGGTGCTGCTGTTGATCCTCCTCACCCTGCGGCTTGGACGAAGCAGCCTGAACATCCTCTGCTGCATCGTCTCTGCTCCCGCCACTGCCGGGTGACGTGGTATCCATTGCATCGCCCTCCGTCGCCGCCGCCGTTCCCTCTGCAGGTGTCTGGCCAGCAGATGCGCCCACACTTCCTTCTGTCGTCTTCCCGTCATCATCACCATCACTGGAGGCGGTGGTGGTGTCTGTTGGGAGTGCAGGGAGAGACAGCTCGGGAACAACATCCACCAGCGCGGCGTACCGCTGCCGTGTCTCCTGCACACACGCGATCGATCAGCCATTGGAAATGGTGGGCAAAGCAAAGCAAACAGGGGTAGGAGGGAAGAAGATGAGAACAAGCAGGATGGCGTGTGGAGGCCATGTAACATACAACCATACAAGCATCGACTGTGATTGGCCTGCGAGCATCGGGCGTACGGGGATGGACGCAGCGTGGCCGTCAACAACAAGAAACTTGTACGCTTCGAGCAGGGCATCCTGCATGTTGTAGACAACGCAGTGGCAAGGAAATGGGCATGATCACAGCAGGTGGAGAAGAAAAACAGAGATGTGAGGAGACACGCAATTCAAAGCATTTCAAGGACCAAGCAATGCCAACACTGAGCAACAGTCAAATCAAGCGCCAGCAGGCGAGAGCAACAAGAACAAGAACACGAACACGAACAAGAACAAGAACAAGAGCAAGAACACGAACAACAACACGAACAACAACAAAAACAACAACAACAACAACAACAACAACAACAACCAACAACAACAACAACAACAACAACAACAACAACAACAACAACAACAACAACCAACAACAACAACAACCAACAAGAACGTACGCGGAGGGCGGCAATGACGATGCTGAACTCTGTGGCGTCGCGCCGGCGCAGGGAGATGAGCCGCATCGCCTCTGGTGCAGCGTCAACGAGATACAGATCAACAACACGCGGTCCAAACGCAGCCAGGCCCTTGATGGCACCGTAGTACGACAGCAGCGAGCGCCGCCGCTTCAGCACATCCTGGAACACCTTCAATATGCGCGGCTGGTTGGTGGTGATGGTGGAAGGGGTGATGGTATTGTTGTTGATATGAGTGACGAAGTGCAGCACAGATGGAAGGTCAAGGTACTGCAATCAGATACTTGAGCACTAGCACAGGCGCGATGACACTCGGGCAAACTACTGCAGGCACCCACGTACACACACACACACACACACACACACACACACACACACACACACACACACACACACACACACACACACACACACACACACATTCAGACCTGGAGGTCGTGGTACTTGGTGCCGTACTTGACGCAGATGCTGACGGCGACCTGCGCTGCGCGGACGCGAAGGGCGAGGTGGTCCGGGGCATAGCTGGCAAGCTTCTTCGAGACAGCACACGTCGCAACGACGGGGATGACGTGGTGCAGCTGTGCGCGGCACATGATGCAAGCGCGCGGATGTGGACGGGGGCGACAACAACGAGTTTGGTAAAAGTGAGAATTTGGGGGGGGGGGGTGCACGGTGCAACTGACTCACAAGCAAACGACAAGACAAGCACACACACGCACACGGAGACAAGAAACAGCATTTGATACTCCATTGAAACGCAAAGTGAGCGCACATAGGGCTCGAGGTAGACGTTGTTGTTCTGCACCAGTGCATCAACCATGCCGACAACACTCGCGATGGCGTTGGGGTCGGAGGCGTGCTCAGTCGTCTGTTGTGCGATTCAGGGTACGCGTGTGCGTGCGTGTGCGTGTGCGCGTGTATATGTTTGAATGTAAGCACAAGTGTTGATGCTTGAATGAATGAACAAACAAAGCAAAAAAAGCAAGCAAAAAAAGCAAGCAAACGAAAGCAAGCAAGCAAGCAAGCAAGCAAGCAAGCAAGCAAACAAACAAACAAACAAACAAACAAACAAACATACAAGTACACCCAGAGCGAAACGGCACCTGTGATCGAATGAACTCCATGAAGAAAGGGACGAGTTGGTGAAGGCCGTGGTCTGTAGACAGTGTCTTCAGTGCTGCTTGCTTCGCCGTTTTGTCCGCACCTACAGGGGCATACCAAACGGGAGGAGCATACAACATTGAGGAGGGGTGGGTAGCAACCTAGACGCGTTGGAGGTGTGGCAGCAGCCGGGTGCGCGTGCATGCGTGCCATGCCCAGTGCACGTGTGCTTCCAGACACGAACCCAGCAAAGACATGGCATGTTGACAAGCAGCAATGGTCGTTTGCACGCACCAAGGAGGTCCTTGATGATGTAGTTGAAGAGCAGTTGCTGCTCGCGACTGAGCGTGTGCTTCTCCAGCTGCTTGATCTCCACTTCTTCCCGCGGCTTGCCTTCCTTCAGCTTGGGCGCCTTGGCTGCGGGCTCTTGCCCCTGTGATGGCGTTGGTGCAGTTGTTGTTGTTGTTGTTGTTGTTGTTGTTGTTGTTGTTGTTGTTGTTGTTGTTGTTGTTGTTGTTGTTGTTGTTGTTGTTGTTGTTGTTGTTGTTGTTGTTGTTGTTGCATGATGGAAAACGTGCGCGTGTTGTGGATGCATAGTGAGAGAATTGCGTGCGCACGTGGGGGTTGCATGTCGAGTGCATGTTCGTGAAAGAGAACACAACAAGCAATGGCCACCAGCAATAGCACTTCACACACACACACACGCACGCACGCACGCACGCACGCACACACCTCTTCTGGTTCCGCTGTGTGGGTCGTGTGAACTGTGAAAGCAAGAGAAGATCACGAGGTGGTTCAGAGAGTTAAATACCGGGCAAGCGTTATGTCACAAGAGTAGACACGGATAAAACCAGGGTGCTTGTTCCCCACAACAACAACAACAACATCAATAGCGGCAGCAGCAGTCGCGTACCTGGCGGGTTTTGTGGGATGGTGGGTTGTTCCCCTTCGATGGCGAGCCAGTGGCTGGTGAACGTCATCTCTGCCGGCATCTGGCCATGTGGAGGAGACGCGCGAAGTTGGCAAGATGGAAGGAGAACCAACGAACATGCGAGCAGCAGAATCAAATGTAGATGAGGCAACAGCAACCCAGCGAAGCAAACCAGCGGAGAGAGAAAGAGAGTGAGTGGGACAGAGAGAGAGAGTGTGTGTGTGTGTGTGTGTGAGTGAGAGTGAGATAGAGTGAGATAGAGAGAGATAGAGATAGAGATAGAGAGTGTGTGTGAGTGTGGAGACACACACACACACACACACACACACACACACACACACACACACACACACACACACACACACACACACACACACACACACACACACAGACGCACGCACCGATGGCAGTGGAGCACCGATAATCTCGTGCACGCGCTTGACGGTGTCTGGAATGTAGAAGACGTCGCTTTCCTTGGCACGCTTGAACAAGCTCTCCACAGTGCCAGTATGGCTTCCAGAGGGATAGCCATACACAGGCTGCAAATGGAGAATGGGCACACAGCAGCGCGGTTAGACGTGAATTCAGGTGGTGTGCTGTTGTATTCTTGGACACATGTGTTGTGGTGTGGTTTGCGTGTGCGTGACACTCTCACCTCCATGTTTCGCACACGCATGGCAGCGTTGATGTCGTCTGTCGTCATTCTGCGTCGCCGCCCATGCCGAGTAAACTTGGCAGCATCCTTGAACGCATGCGCGCGCGCGTGTGTGTGTGTGTGCGTGTGTGTGTGCGTGTGTGTGAGGAAGGAGGAGGAGAAGGCGGAGGAGGATGAGAAGGAAGGGGTGACATGGACGACATGTTGTCACGAGCGAGGATGCACACACACACACACACAACGACAAACACAGACACACACACAGACAACGACAAACACACACACAGACAACGACAAACACACATCGTTGGTACCTGTGCGATTTCGCGAATGCGATACTCCAGGTCTGCAGCGAGCACCCGGCACACGTCGTCAGTGATGGTAGGAAAGCGACCGGCCTCCGCCACCACGCGCACCATCTCGCTCGGAAACACACTCATGTTTGCAGGGTGCTGGACGTGGTGTTGGCTCGGTGTGGTTGTGGAGAAATCGTGGAAATTTTCCTTTACTTTTCGGCAAACGAGCAACGAAGAGGACACAGCACAACACATCGCGAAGACAACGTCCAAACACATCAACACACACACACACACACACACACACACACACACACACACACACACACACACACACACACACACACACACACACACACACACACACACACACACACACACACAAATACGAAGATGGAGCAGATGGAAATCCACACGTTAAAGTACTTGAAAGGCATTGACAGTGAGATTGACAAGGTTTTGTACCGACCAGCAAACAAGGCTGCCCTGTACAAGTTCACGGTTCGAACAAACTCATGGGTACGGCAAGGCCACATTAACATGATGCACATGAGCACAGGAACACACCCGCGCATCCAACCAGGGCACACCCTAGCACACACACACACACAATTATACAATCACACAAACACACAACCCAAAACACACACACACACACAATTATGCAATCACACACACACCCAAAACACACACACACACACACTCCAGACTCACGCTTCCTTTGCTTCCCACGCATCCCCTTCGCAGACAAGCAATCCTGCACCCATCGGAAAGCTCTTCTTGTGTCGCAGGTTAGATCTCCAGTCAGCGTGGTTGCAACCCCAACGGCTCCATGTACTTGATGAGTGCTCTCAACAGCTCTCATATGTGCCTTTCCCGAAGATCAAGCAATCGCGGCTCACCTGTTGCGTATGCACTGTGTCTCGTAGGAGCACCAACCCAACGACGTACGTGCTGGTGCTGTTGGGGAGGACTGAGGGCAGATACTGGGTGTATCACATTGTCCCAGACACGCAGGTGCACTTGGACGACCAGCATCCGCGCATTGACCTGGAGGATTCTGCACACCCTGGAGAAGGTACGTACAATGCATGCGAGCATGTTACTTGCTTGTGCACAAGCTAGCTGTGCCTCTGCTGCAATGTGCTGTCTGTCAATGCTTGCTGGTACCTGCTGCTTGTGGCTCGTGATTTGTTGGTTGCTGGCTCCCTCATTCACGTTCTTCTCCTCTTCCTGTCCATATGCTTCTCCTTGCTTCTTCCTCTCCCCCCCCCCACCACCACCACCACCACCGCACTTTACACACGCCTTCGTTTGTGGTTGCAGTGTTTGGGCTGTTCTTCTCCAACTCCCACGATTCCCGCGACTGCCTTGCACAACTTCAGAGGTATGCACGGCTCCAGCTGTGTTGCAGCCAATACACTAACCGTCACGCTTGCTCCTGCTGCTGTGTGCGTTCTCTGATTGACGGACAGCCACTCACAACAAACTCCCGCCATGCGCACACCCTCATGTCTTGTTGTTGACAGCCTACCAAGGTAGTGGTCATCACTGCTTTGCGACGGCTGCGTGCTTCAAGCGAACGCCCTGTTTAGTGGCGTGGTCGTCTGTCAGAGGAGGAAGGGGGAGGGAACTCGCGAACAACACGGACGTGACGAGAGAAAGCATCAAGCCAGAGGAGGGAGAGGGAAAAGGGGGAAGTTGCTATTTGAACACAAGTAAATGAGTAACACCAAGGAACAGCGAATGAATGCACAACGATAACAGCCTGAGTGATAGCATCCAGGAAAAAAAAAAAAAGCAGTGGCAACAAGATGACAACACGCAGAGCGGACAAGGCCGAGAAAAGTTGACATGCAAACATGGGCGCTCGCCTGTGTTCATGAAATGGCCACAGGAAAGCAACGAAAATGTGGTCGAACACATGGATAGATACATCAAGAGACACGCACACTGACAGAAACTGTACCGGCACAAGTGAAACGAACAAGTAAGTACGCGCATGTAAAACGGAGTGACATGAATACGCACGAACGACCAAAATGAACTCAACACACACACACACACACAGCTTACACGAACACACAAGCAAACACACACACACACAAACACACAAACACACAAACACACACACACACACACACACACACACACACACACACACACACACACACAAGTGAGCAATCAGCTCCCGGGTTTGGCGGTATCCCATCAGTCGCGCCTGATCCTGCGACGGGATCGTTTCGTCGTTGCTCTCCCCGGCCTGCGTGGTGGCCATGACGGCAGCATGCTTGGCTGTCGACCCAGCGCTGTCCCCGCACACTCCGCAGGTGCACTCTCCATGCAGTACTGATGCACATTCATCTTGCACGCCCGGCAACGCAGGCCCTGGCGATTGGCAAGTTGGAAGCGTGGTGGAAGCAGTGATGGTGCAGGTGGTGGTGAGGTTAAGCATGGCGCGACGCGTGTTGTGCCACCATCGCACAGGGCATGTGAAAGGAGGGAGAGGGCATCTAGTGTCTCAAACGCACGAGCAGCAAGAAACACACGCACACATGATTGAACAGGGCATGCACACACACACACACACAGACCCACGTGCGATGGCAATGCTCAAACCCATGCAATCATCCTTTGCTCAGATGCCCACAGCCATTGACAAGCGCACCTGTCGAGCCACGCCGGCGAGCACTTCGTTGCAGACGTCGCACAGCGTCTCCCGCACATATGTCTTGGTGTTGAACTCGTGCTCACGCGGGCCTTCGTCCTCCCCCGATTCCTCATCCTGCCGCTGCCGAGCCGCTGTTGCTGTTGTCTTCAGTGCTGACGATGATGCTGTTGGTGCTGATGCTTCGCTAGCCGTGTTCGCTAGCGCAGACGCCGACGACGACGACTTGTTGCCAGAAGGTTTCCTTGCAATGACACAATCGATCGTGTGTGTGTGTGTGTGTGTGTGTGTGTGTGTGTGTGTGTGTGTGTGAATGGATGGAACGTGAAGGCGTGCGCATTACGCATACCAGAGCCAACACGCGAGCGGCTACACCCTTCGAATGAACAACAGCGCCAACACGCGCGCGTGTGTATGTGTATACCTCCGTGAGATGCGTCTGCTGGCGCGGCGACTGCGTTGGTACTGCTTCTTGAACTGCCACACGCTGTCCTGTCGCCGCTGCAGCACGGGGCTTGTCTTTGGTGACGACAACGGACTCAACTTGTCCTTCTCCTCCATCTTCTCCACGTCCGCCTGATGCTCCCATGCGCCAGTCACCTTGGCAATCGCAGACCGCACGCTGTCACCACCATCTGTCGCCGCCTCTGCCGCGTCTGTGCCCGCGTCTGTGATTGACAGCTTTGGTGTGGCCATTGGCTTCGCATGAACGCCCCCGTTTTCCACTGCCGTCGCAGCTGTGTCAGCAGCGCCATCCCACCCCTGCTGCCCCTGCTGCCCCTGCTGCTGCTGCTGCTGCTGCTGTTGGCGCTCCTGCATGTATTGCAGGAGGACCTGGTGGATGAAGACGTACTGCTTCGCCGTCTGCACCGTCATGCCGCGGTTCTTGCGCGCCTGGCACACGTTCTTCAGCACATCCACAGCCCCCGTCTCCTCGTACTGGTTGCAAGAAATGTGGTCGTGGTCGTGGTGGCGATGGTGGTGGTGGTGATCGTGTGAGAAGGGGTTCTTCTTCATTGCGTGAAAGCGGTGATAATGGTTGCAGGCAGTGCTTGGGGCACACAGTCACACACATTTGAACTGTAACACAACCATGATGTGAACAACGGCACGCACACACACACACATCACATCACATGACATACATACATACATACACACACACACCTCTTGCATGCCAATGTCGATGTTGATGAAGCACCCCGTGCGCCCAACACCGGCGCTGCAGTGGATAATCGGCGGTCCGGACCCAGCTTCCGTAAGCGCGCGCGTGTCTGTGATGAACGTGAAAATCCCATCAATTTGTTCCGGCACACCTGTACACGTGGTGTGATGTGATGTGATGTGTGTGTGTGTGTGTGTGTGTGTGTGTGTGTGTGTGTGTGTGTGTGTGTGTGTGTGTGTGTGGTGATCCTGGCGGTCTGACATAACTTTACGTGTCTGGAGAGTTATATCAACTACAAATAGCTAAATTTTCTCAGCTGAAGCCCCGCCTACCGCCGCCCAAGAGTGTGCATTCACGTGAGTCTCGATACCAGTAAGTTCATATAAATTTTCGAATTCGTGTTATAACTAGTTGGATTGTACGTACGTACGGTGGTTGGTAGTGTGTAGTGTGTAGTGTGTGTGTGTGTGTGTGTGTGTGTGTGTGTGTGTGTGTGTGTGTGTGTGTGTGTGTGTGTGTGTTCGGGTGAGTAGATGAGCATATACGTGCGTGCAGGATGGTTTGTGAGGGAGACACAGCAAAGCAGTATGACAGAACGCGGCGTCGCGTGTTGTGTTGCGTGTCACCTTTGTCTGGCCAGTCCTTCCACCAGAGATGCTTAATCTCCCGCACCTCTCCGTCTTGCTCCACATGCAGCCTGGGGCAACGTCCCAGATGCATCATCGTAAAACGGGCGTAAGGAGCGCGTGACATGGAGACGTGTCAACGGAACATTGGCATACAAGCACGTGATAGGGGCACAAAACAGCGCAGTGATCACAGCACACACACACGCATACACACACACAACAGCCAGGTGCGTACGTGGAGGTGGTGTAGTTTGGAGATGCTTGGCTTTCCCTCTTGAGCGTGACCTTGATGTCCTTGTACGTCTCCGTCTGCCCAACTTCCGCTGGCCAGTACCGCTCGCACTTGTTGCTGCCGCGCGCACACAAACACACACACACATA